TTCAATCTGGATAATAACACAAAACAAATTATAAGGCTAGAGAAATGTATCGACAAATATTACAACAACACGCAACACCCAAACATGACGGAAGATAAACGAGGAGAATCAATCTCCAAGAGAAAACGCGACTCGTCGACTGATACAGATGATTTATGCTTTTCACCACTGGGACTGGTAAGTGTGGAAAGCGACCTGTTGAAGTCGATAAATGACAAACTGGGCATACTAGAGTTGGTCAGTAATGATGTAAAAGAGTTGAAGGCGAGTCTTGAAATGAGTGACGGAAAAGCTGCGATAATGGAGAAAGATACAAAAAAACTAAAAGAGACAGTCACTAAGATAGAAACGGACGTTAAGGAACATAAAAAGGAGAACAACTTTCTGAGAGAAGCCTTACTAGACATGCAAACTAGATCGATGAGAGAAAATCTAGTACTGATGGGTATCCAGGAAAAAGAGGTAGAGGTAACCGAGACTATTGTGAAGGACTTCTTTCTAACAGCGCTTCAAATCCCACTCGAGGCTGCCGATAAAATCCAACTTGAACGTGTACACCGTTTCGGACAAAGAGGACAGAGATATGAGCGTCCAATCGTTGCCAAATTTGCTTTTTTAAGGATAAAGTAATGGTTAAAAGCCTAGGTAAAAGACTTGCTGGCACCGAAATTGGAATGAATGATCAGTTCCCGAGGGAGATTGCAGAAAGGCGCAAAGTTCTGTACACAATCTTCAAGGAAAATAGATTAAAAGGGAAGCGTGTTGCTCTCGTTGTCGATAAACTGTATATTGACAACCAAATGTACCGCGACACAAAGACTACTCCATGGCTATTCTGAAAGTTCTAATAGAAGTGTCGAATAATGGAGCATCCAATACTAGCCATGGTAGGGATTGTAATAATAAACATTTATAGTATGTATAGTATTTTATAAAAGGATAAAACGGTATTACAAGAAAAGATAACAAGTTAAATAATACATCTTCAAATACAACTAATTAGAACACATGTACGCAATCAACATAGTGGAGATAAAAACATAGCGAACAGAAGACATAGACGGCACAGTATGTGGGTATGTGTGGATGAATGGTGATGGAAAGTGTGGTGTGCGTTTTTTGTTTTTGAATAAGTGTGGTGTTAGGTGAGTGAGAAAGGAAATGGTTTCTTATCCCAGAAACAACGTGTGTCTGTGAGCAGGGGTTGTGAGAGAGATTCCAATTTTGTGCAGATGAGGGATATACATTTTAAAAATATAGTATACATCTAATCTATTTTTTTACTGTCCTATCATGATGGAACGATCCCCAACCGTATATCCTAGACACCCACCTGAGGGATTCTGGTGGGGTACCCCCACCCAGGTACTGGCAGTGCTGGCAACACTGGCTGCAGTAACCCATGGGGAGAGGGTCACACTCGGACAATCAGAGAGGGGACTTATTATTGTGGCCTAAGTGGCACAAAATAATCAAAGGTCTGACACACAGAGATGCTTGGGAAAAATGGTTACAACGGGGTACCAGAGTGTTTGTGTCTCAGGTGAAGAGGGTGGATCTGATCTCCATCACCTAGGACTTGACATAGATTAAATAGATTAATCAAATCTCACATTGTTGTCAAATTTTTGCTCAATCTTGCATGCTTTCTCAAACAGCTGTAACTGTATATGCATTCGTAAATCAGGTCCTTTCTTGAGTTGGGCTCTGGGATGTAACAACCGTTGAGCATCTGAGCTTATGGTTGATTGTGGAGGAAAGGGGTTGAGTGTGTTAGAGTATGTGCGTGTATGTTTATCCCACATCTGTTGCAAGGGGGTAAGGATTTTAGGGAGAATATAGGATTAACCACAATAATTGTTTGCTAAAATAATAATTGCTTGTCAAAAATGTAATGTAATACAATGGCAATCCGGGTTATAGGTTAAAATCCTACGCATGAACTGCTGACATTATTACGCATATTAATCGATAACGATGGAAAATAAGATATGCAAGATATTTGAATGGATATATTTTTAAATAGCTATAAATATATATATATATATATATATATATATATATATATATATATATATATATATATATATATATATATATATATATATATATATATATACACACACACACACAGTGGGGAGAACAAGTATTTGATACACTGCCGATTTTGCAGGTTTTCCTACTTACAAAGCATGTAGAGGTCTTTAATTTTTATCATAGGTACACTTCAAATGTGAGAGATGGAATCTAAAACAAAAATCCAGAAAATCACATTGTATGATTAAGTAATTAATTTGCATTTTATTGCATGACATAAGTATTTGATACATCAGAAAAGCAGAACTTAATATTTGGTACAGAAACCTTTGTTTGCAATTACAGAGATCATACGTTTCCTGTAGGTCTTGACCAGGTTTGCACACACTGCAGCAGGGATTTTGGCCCACTCCTCCATACAGACCTTCTCCAGATCCTTCAGGTTTGGGGCTGTCGCTGGGCGATACGGACTTTCAGCTCCCTCCAAAGATTTTCTATTGGGTTCAGGTCTGGAGACTGGCTAGGCCACTCCAGGACCTTGAGATGCTTCTTACGGAGCCACTCCTTAGTTGCCCTGGCTGTGTGTTTCGGGTCGTTGTCATGCTGGAAGACCCAGCCACGACCCATCTTCAATGCTCTTACTGAGGGAAGGAGGTTGTTGGCCAAGATCTCGTGATACATGGCCCCATCCATCCTCCCCTCAATACGGTGCAGTCGTCCTGTCCCCTTTGCAGAAAATCATCCCCAAAGAATGATGTTTCCACCTCCATGCTTCACAGTTGGGATGGTGTTCTTGGGGTTGTACTCATCCTTCTTCTTCCTCCAAACACGGCGAGTGGAGTTTAGACCAAAAAGCTCTATTTTTGTCTCATCAGACCACATGACCTTCTCCCATTCATCCTCTGGATCATCCAGATGGTCATTGGCAAACTTCAGACGGGCCTGGACATGCGCTGGCTTGAGCAGGGGGACCTTGCATGCGCTGCAGGATTTTAATCCATGACGGCGTAGTGTGTTACTAATGGTTTTCTTTGAGACTGTGGTCCCAGCTCTCTTCAGGTCATTGACCAGGTCCTGCAGTGTAGTTCTGGGCTGATCCCTCACCTTCATGATCATTGATGCCCCACGAGGTGAGATCTTGCATGGAGCCCCAGACTGAGGGTGATTGACCGTCATCTTGAACTTCTTCCATTTTCTAATAATTGCGCCAACAGTTGTTGCCTTCTCACCAAGCTGCTTGCCTATTGTCCTGTAGCCCATCCCAGCCTTGTGCAGGTCTACAATTTTATCCCTGATGTCCTTACACAGCTCTCTGGTCTTGGCCATTGTGGAGAGGTTGGAGTCTGTTTGATTGAGTGTGTGGACAGGTGTATTTTATACAGGTAACGAGTTCAAACAGGTGCAGTTAATACAGGTAATGAGTGGAGAACAGGAGGGCTTCTTAAAGAAAAACTAACAGGTCTGTGAGAGCCGGGATTCTTACTGGTTGGTAGGTGATCAAATACTTATGTCATGCAATAAAATGCAAATGAATTACTTACAAATCATACAATGTGATTTTCTGGATATTTGTTTTAGATTCCGTCTCTCACAGTTGAAGTGTACCTATGATACAAATTACAGACCTCTACATGCTTTGTAAGTAGGAAAACCTGCAAAATCGGCAGTGTATCAAATACTTGTTCTCCCCACTGTATATGTGTGTGTATATGTGCGTGTATGTATATATATATATATATATATATATATATATATATATATATATATATATATATATATATATATATATATATATATATATATATATATATTTACATTTTAGTCATTTAGCAGACACTCTTATCCAGAGCGACTTACAGTTAGTGAGTGCATACATTTTCATACTGGCCTCCTGTTGGAATCGAACCCAGAACCCTGGGGTTGGAAACGCCATGCTCTACCAACTGAGCTACACGGGACTATGTATGTCTGTGTATATATATATATATATATATATATTTGCGAGAAAAAAACAACATATGGGGGATTGGAAGTGATTCAGACAATTACATTGATGAAGTTACAATCTATCTGAAATATTAAAGCTGATCTACCCCCTAAAGAAAGAAAGAAAAAAAAGAAAAAAACAATGGTCAAGCGTGTTCTCTCTGCATGTAGCACAGCAGATGTGTTCATATAATTTCAGGTGCGTTTTCCTCAGATTTCCTTTTATTAAAGCCCCCAGCGACAATGAATGTGGCCTCAGGATATGAGGTTTACAGTTTGCAAAAAGTCCAGTGTAGGTCCTTGAGAGCTGTCGCGGTGTCGGCTTGGGGGGTAATATACACAGCAGTGACAACCAAAGAGAATTCTCTCGTGAGGTAATGCGGCAGCATTTGATTGTGAGGTATTCCAGATCAGGATAACAAAAGGACTTGAGTTCCTGTACGTTACCACCATCACGCCACAAGTTGTTAATCATGAGACATACCCCTCTACCTCTGTTTTCCCCAGAGATTTCTTTCTTCCGATCCGCGCGATGAACTGAGAACCCCACTGGCTGTATGGACGGGGACAATATATCCGGAGAAAGCCATGATTCTGTAAAACTACTAGAAATGTTCCTGGCAAATAATGTAACAAATAACAAAAACAAATGAAAAATACTGCAATGTTGGCTAGGAGCTAGAAACAAGGCGACAGTGTCCATCTGCGCCAGACAGAGAGAGATAGAGTTGAAGAGAGAAAGCTTGAAAAGAAAAAGGTTGACCGAGACAGAGAATGGAGATAAGACAAAATGGTGGAGAGACCGGTCGATGTAGAGATCGAGAGGGGTCAAAGTCAGAGGGAGATAGGGAGAAAGAGAGAGAGCGATGTGGGAGGAGAAATCAAAGTAGAGAGCGAGAGAGCTGTGCAGCAGATGTGAGTTATGGCAGTATCGGAAGGCATGCGGAGGGCTAAGTCTACTCGGTCAGTTGGCCCACTCACTTCTTGACGTTCTTGACCTTCATGCTGGCTGTGCTGCTGCAGGAGCGCAGGAGGGGCTCGGTGCTCAGCTCGGGGACCTCAGCACTCCGCGCCTGCATGTCGCAAAAGAAACACATACTCGTCAATACATGACTTGTGACTTCACCTTTGACAAACAACTCCATATAAGTTGACCTGCATGCAAGAGAAACCTAGGGACAGCGCAAAGCAAAACTGTTCAAATACACTTTTCCAAAACGTAGTGACTAGCTACTTTTTATATATTTTTGGTTGTTGTATTTTTCATCTTTATTGGACAGACAAATTGAAAGAGTGGAAGGAAAGTTAGGATAGAGTGCGTTAGAAGGGCAGTCGGTCGGATTCAAACACACCAACTGCTAGACCACTCCAGGCCCCTACTAGCTAAATTTGACCCAACATAGTAAAGTCTGACCCCTGATCCCATGACTGAGAGGCTAATCTGTGACAGAGCGAGGTTAAAACACACTTGACAACATTAAATTACATTAATGTAATCCTGTGTGGCTTAAGTCAACACAGACTGCCAGGGAAGGGAAAAGAGCAACACTAAGCTAACAGAGCGAAAGAAGAGGAACCAGAGATAGTAAGGAAAGTAAAGAAGAGAGAGAGAGAAGAGAGAGAGAGAGAGAGAGAGAGAGAGAAGAGAGAGAGAGAAGATAGATAGAGATCTAGAGAGCTATAGCTATCTAATGATGATGGAGGAGATACTAGTAGTAATAGAAGAGATAGAGAGCTATAGAAGGAGTATAGTAGCGGATGTTATGCTAGAGAAGATGTCCTCGAGAATGAAGGGGAGGGAGAGAGAGAGGGAGAGAGAGAGAGAGAGGACAGGGTGAGATGTGGGGAAGTTTTCGGTCCCTTTCTAGCTGACTGCAGCCAAAGACAGTGAAGGTGATATGCAGTTAAGCATTCCCAATGAGGTCAGAGAGACAGGAGCCAGGTGGGCCGGGGTACAAAGAGCATCATGTCAGGCCTGCACTTGCTGTGAATGGGAATGTATATCAGTTAGCCTGTGTGCCAGTCCCTTTTTGTTCTTTCTGCTTTAGCCGACTCCATTGTTATTGCTGTTTGGCATCGAAAATGTTTCTGCTAAAGCAAATACAGAGTGAAAACCAGGCTAGTAAGAGCTACTAGGAGCAGGGAAACACTGGTAGCAACCACTTCAGCGCTTCCCCAAGGGGAGTGACAAGATAGGCTTATGAAGTCTATCCAAAACATTTCCAGAAGTTCAGTTGTACCTATAAAATATTCAACTGTGTCTTGAAGAAGGCAAGGTCTCTTCAAGGAACTCCCTGAACACTTTGGTTGGTAAATATTATGCACAGCAGCCTACGTCGCATTAAGTGACGCTGAATGTGAAGTATTTTGCATATGTATTGCATTTTCACATTAGGCATTATTCAAATATACAGTATTACTCGACTAACTACTGCATGTAACTATTTTCTTCTAGGCCTATTTGCATCCATGTAAGCCAGTGATAACACATTCTCTTTTGCAGTAACGACCTGACCAATGTTCTGCTATCAATGTGCACTTGGTCAACCGTTATGACACGTCGAGAGCTTGGCAGACTTATTGATCTATTCATCCTCTGAAATACAGCACAACAACCACTGCCTGCAACGTATGACCGCTACTGCCATTTGGGAATACGGCTACCCAATGTGACCGCCAACTACCATAGCATTTTTTATCACAACAATGTCCCCAAACCACAAGTGTGACTTATTTAGAGAAATCTATTCACACGTATCGGCCCCTTCATAATAACAGAATACAGAATTTAACAAAAGAACAGCAGATATGACACTTCTTTAATGTTTCAAAACTGATCAACATTCATTAGCGGTAGAGAGATGGCTGTGTCTGTGCGCCAACTTGCACCCCATTCCCTATTTAGTGCACTACGTTTGACCTGGGCCAATAGGGCTCTTGTCAAAAGTAGAGCAGTATATAGGGAATAGGGTGCAATTTGGGACGCCGACTGTGTCTCTCAGCCACTGTATTGAATGTTTGTGGTTCCAAAGTGAGCATGGTGACGGCCAACTGTCATGTTACCATGGAGATGGCCTCATTTCAGCTAGCATGTTGCTGAATGCAGCTCAGTTGGAGAGAAAATAATTACTTGAGCTTGGATGGTTGAAGTGATGTATGATTTCATCAACTGAATGAGTTAAGGTATCATATCACTAATGGAGACTTTGGCATATTAAAAATGTAGATATTTACTAAAAGATGTGATAACTTGAATTATATGAGAGGGATTAAATTAATTGATTAATATCTATCGTATAATCATTATATTCATATTGAATCATCTGATTTAAGTGGTTGGTTTAAACACTAAAATGTCCTCATTACAATTTTTCTTAAGTTTAGCCTACATATACTGAACAAAAATATAAACGCAACATGATTCTAGTGAGATACAATTCATATAAGGAAATCAGTCAATTGAAATAAATAAATTAGTCCGTAATCTATGGATTTCACATTAATGGGCAGGGGCACAGCCATGGGTGGGCATGGGAAGGCATAGGCCCACCCTCTGGGGAGCCAGGCCCATCCAGTCGGTTTTTCCCAGACAAAAAGTATTTATTACAGCCTGAAATACTCCTCAGTTTCATCGGCCGTTCCGGGTGGCTGGTCTCAGATAATCCCACAGGTGAAGAAGCCGGATGTGGAGGTCCTGGGCTGGCGTGGTTACATGTGGTCTGCGGTTGTAAGGCCGGCTGGATGTACTGCCAAATTCTCTAAAACGACGTTGGAGGCAGCTTATGGTTGAGAAATTAACATTCAATTCTCTGGCATCTGCTTTGGTGGACATTCCTGCAGTCAGCATGCTAATTGCACGCTCCCTCAAAAGAGGCATCTGTGGCATTGTGTTGTGTGACAAAACGGAACATTTTATTGTACCCAGCACAAGGTGCACCTGTGTAATGATCATGCTGTTTAATCAGCTTCTTGATATGCCACATCTGTCAGGTGGATGGATTATCTTGGCAATGGAGAAATGCTCACTAACAGGGATGTAAACTAATTTGTTCAAAAAATTTGAGATAAATAAGCTTTTTGTGCATATGGAAAATTTCTGGGATCTATTATTTCAGCTCATGAAACATGGAACCAACACTTTACATGTTGCGTTTATATTTCTGTTCAGTATACATAAATAGATTAGGTTCTGATACATCCCCACTACTTCTAAAGTTAAATTAATGTACATGAGAGGCATCATCGTCATTTCACAATTGGGAGCGGAGGCTGGATGTTGACGCAGCATTTCAGTTTGATATCAAGACATTTCCCTAACAGTTAAGACAATCAGTTCATTAAAGAACACTGAGATAAAACGGTGTTAGGGAGCCAACGAGCCCCAATCAAAGAGGAGCCTTGTTATCTAAGTACTGAACGTTTGATTAGCACCGACACTGTTCGGGATCACTCTAAGCTGGGATACTTTGTGTGTGTGTGCGTGTTCGTGTGTGTACTAGGGCTGAGAATTGCCAGGGACCTCACGATATGATATTATCACAATACTTAGGTGCCGAAACGATATGTATTGCGATTGTCACAATTCTATATGTATTGAGATGTGATACTGCGATTCTAATATTTTATATATACACTCTACCAGTCAAAAGTTTGGACACACCTACTCATTCAAGGGTTTTTCTTTATTTTTACATTGTAGAATAATAGTGAAGACATCAAAACTATGAAATAACACATATGGAATCATGTAGTAACCAAAAAAGTGTTAAACAAATTGAAATATCTTTTATATTTGAGATTCTTCAAATAGCCACCCTTTGCCTTGACAGCTTTGGACACTCTTGGCATTCTCTCAACCAGCTTCATGTGGTAGTCACCTGGAATTAATTTCAATTAATGGGTGCCTTCTTAAAAGTTCATTTGTGGAATTTATTTCCTTCTTAATGCGTTTGAGCCAATCAGTTGAGTTGTGACAAGGTAGAGGGGGTATACAGAGTTTGGTAAAAGACCAAGTTCATATTATGGCAAGAACAGCTCAAATAAGCAAAGAGAAACGACAGTCCATCATTACTGTAAAAAATTATTATTATTTTTTTTTCACCTTTATTTAACCAGGTAAACAATTGGAGAACAAGTTCTCATTTACAACTGCGACCTGGCCAAGATAAAGCAAAGCAGTGTGATAAAAAAAAAAAACATATGGGGTAAAAATACAACAGAAAATATATATACAGTGTGTGCAAATGTAGGAAGTTATGGAGGTAAGGCAAGAAATAGGCCATAGTGCAAAATAATTACAATTTAGTATTAGCACTGGAATGATAGATGTGCAAGAGATGATGTGCAAATAGAGATACTGGGGTGCAAATTAGCAAAATAAACTTTAAGACATGAAGGTCAGTCAATGTGGAACATTTCAAGAACTTTGAAAGTTTCTTCAAGTGCAGTCGCAAAAACCATCAAGCGCTTTGATGAAACTCGCTCTCATGAGGACCACCACAGGAATGGAAGACCAAGAGTTACCTCTGCTGCAGTTCATTAGAGTTACCAGCCTCAGAAATTGCAGCCCAAATAAATGCTTCACAGAGTTCAAGTAACAGACACATCTCAACATCAACTGTTCAGAGGAAACTGTGTGAATCGGTCCTTCATGGTCGAATTGTTGCAAAGAAACCACTACTAAAGGACACCAATAATAAGAAGAGACTTGCTTGGGCAAAGAAACACGAGCAATGGACATTAGACCAGTGGAAATGTGTCCTTTGGTCTGGAGTCCAAATTGGAGATTTTTGGTTTCAACCACCGTGTCTTTATGAGACGTGGTGTGGGTGAATGGATGATCTCCGTATGTGTATTTCCCACCGTAAAGCATGGAAGAGGAGGTGTGATGGTGTGGGGGTGCTTTGCTGGTGACACTGTCTGTGATTTACTTAGAATTCAAGGCACACTTAAAAAGCATGGCTACCACAGCATTCTGCAGCGATACGCCATCTGATCTGGTTTGGACTTAGTGGGACTATCATTTGTTTTTCAACAGGACAATGACCCAACACACCTCCAGGCTGTGTAAGGGCTATTTGACCAAGTAGGAGAGTGATGGAGTGCTGCATCAGATGACCTGGCCTCCACAATCCCCCGACCTCAACCCAATTTAGATGGTTTGGGATGAGTCGGACCGCAGAGTGAAGGAAAAGCAGCCAACAAGTGCTCAGCATATTTCCGAACTCCTTCAAGACTGTTGGAAAAGCATTCCAGGTGAAGCTGGTTGAGAGAATGCCAAGAGTGTGCAGGTGTCCAAATGAGTAGGTGTCCAAACTTTGACTGGTACTGTGTGTGTGTGTGTGTGTGTGTGTGTGTGTGTGTGTGTGTGTGTGTGTGTGTGTGTGTGTGTGTGTGTGTGTGTGTGTGTGTGTGTGTATATATATATATATATATATATATATATATTTATTTATTTTTATCAATACTTGGAGTCAAATATCGATATAATACCATCCAAAAACAATATTTCGATATGTAACTGTCAATTTATGCCCCCATCACTAGTGTGTACATGTATGTAAGCGCGTGTGCGTGCGCGCGCATCTCTGTCAGTGGCCTCCAGCTCACCATGGCGCTGATGGTCTCCTCCCAGTCAGGTCTCTCTCGGGGGTAGATCAGGCGGGCCAGCTCAGGCACTATGTCGTCCTCCTCTGGGTGACGCCCTGGCCTCAGACTCCTAGAGGAGAGCGAGAGGAAGGGAGGGGAGAGGGAAGGAGCGAGAGGGGGAATTTGAATTTCAATCCAATTTATTGGCTCAATATCATACTTTCAAACAAACATTAAAACAGCAAAAATTGCTTTAATACCAAAACTGCTCACACATATTAGGCTAAATTCCTGTTTCAAAAGAGGGAGGGGGAGAGCGAGAAAAAGAGAGAGACACTTTGATACTCTTATTGCAAAAACACTTTCTTATAAAAAAAAAAAACAGACCCTGCATCAACAAAAAACCCAAACCTCACCAGTCCTCCCAGCCAACTCTCAAGATAAAAAACACACTGATCTATAAGGTCATGTATTGTCAACTCAATATGGAAGCCACAAGTTCTAAGGCACCCTAGAGGCTGGTTTGTGTGTGTGTTGGTTCTTCTATCCTTGTGTGGACCTAAAATCCAAAAGTCCCCACAAGGATAGTAAAACAAGGAACATTTTCCCTCGTGGGGCCATTTCCCACATCCCCATGAAGACAAAGGCTATATTAAGCTTAGGGGTTAAGGTTACAATTAGAGTTAGGGTTACAATTAGGGTTAGGGAAAATAGGATTTTGAATGGAAATTAATTTTAGGTCCCCACGAGAATAAAGGCTGGCACGTTGACCAGAATGTGTTAATGGATGCATCATTTCAATTAGAGGAGATGTTTTTACCCATTAGTGGGTGTTGAGGATGGAACACACACACACACACACACAGTGCGTGAAAGACATGAAGACACACCAGAGTGAGGGTGTAACACTGCCTGTCACATATTCACTTGTGAAAGGAGGCATGTGCTCACGCACGTGTGAGAGAGTTTCTGCATTAAGGGGAAATACCCCTTCAAGGGTTGAGAGACTGATGCAGTTATACATTTTTCACACCATATTCTTTGCATAGATACAGCCATAAGGAGACCAAATAGGTTTGTTGTGTGTGTGTGCGTGTGTCAGCTGGATACTGTGTGTGCAAAGGCCAAATAGCACCTTGAATGGGAGAAATGTCAATGTTATTATGTGCGGAGGCAAAGTAGCACCTTCACAGAGGGAGAATGTCAATGTGATTTAGCCATTGAGCCATCAAAGAAACGTTCTGGCCTCTCACATCATTTGCCTCTCTGATAATAATGACTTGAGGATGCAGCCTACAGGTGTGAGGCGAGATTTAACTTTGTCGAGATGTAGCCCACATAGAAGTGGAAGGCTGAAAGCATCTGTATAGAGTACACATACACATCCCCATGAACACTTCCACACACACCCCTGCACGCTCCTTTTACACAAACACACACAAGCCTCACATGAAACACCAACACCTTTATAATCTACCACACCACATCGCCAGACTCCCCCTCACATCCATACTGCAACAGCGGAGTAAAACCAATTTTATGCTCTCATTATAAGTAGAATAAACAAATGTTCTACATTAACACAGGCCTTATAGCAGCCTATATCACTGTGTTCTCATCATTCTACATTGTGAAATAATTTACATTCAAAGGCTGTGGGGCCAGAGTCAATGGAACCTAGAATTCCTATGCATTAATCCAACAGTCAGACCAGATGACCTGAAAAGTGGCAGCATTAACTGCCACTATAGCTGCCAACAGTCTCATATAGGATGCACCCCAAATGGCACCCTATTTCCTATGTAGTGCACTACCTTTGAAAAGTGGTGTACTATATAGTGAATAGGGTGCCATTTGAGACACACCTATAGAACTGAGAACCACATGATAGAGCTGTGATTGACTTAAACCATAAGCTCCAGGAATCATACTGGTGATGATATTAACAGGGTGGAGGGACTGTAGCCAGTGGTGATGATATTAACAGGGTGGAGGGACTGTAGCCAGTGGTGATGATATTAACAGGGTGGAGGGACTGTAGCCAGTGGTGATGATATTAACAGGGTGGAGGGACTGTAGCCAGTGGTGATGATATTAACAGGGTGGAGGGACTGTAGCCAGTGGTGATGATATTAACAGGGTGGAGGGACTGTAGCCAGTAGTGGTGATGATAGAGTTATCTGTATGCAAAGCAGAGACTTCAGAACGAATAAATCGGATTATCTTGGTAAACCTTACATGAGGCTTGAGTCTAGCGTGGAATACATACTTCACACCTCGCATGAGGAGGAGTGGATAATGTGGATGATAGGTAATGTGTGGTCTGATATGAAGCCTACATAAAAGTGTTATAACACTGATATAACTTGACATAACTTGATGCAACTCAAGCATTCACCCACACAGCATTGGTACCCATATAACAGCCAATTCGTGTTCAGATAAGAGTCGTGATTAAATTGATACATTTTCTGAAATGCTCATGATATACACAGTAGGCTACTTCTAACAGTTTCACCACTCTTTGAAGCATTAAACAACTACCATTATGATGTAGCCTATATGGAGGAATGAAACCACAAAGAAGAACCATTTACACTACCGGCCTTCTATGTTTGACTTCTGAGTGACTGTTGGACCAATTCAGTGTATGTGGTGAAAAAAGCTTACAAACAGTCAGTACAATGTCTTGGCATGCTGCCTGGTGCTAATAATACAATACTGTCGATCCTCCTCCACCAGCGCACACAAAACTGCTGATCCTGTTTCTGTAAACTGGGAAAGAGAAACACAAGCTAACCACGCACACGCGTGCATGCTCTCTCACACACACACACACACACACACACACACACACACACACACAAAAGATGTTCTCTCTCACAAACACACACCCACCTCAGGGGTGTATATGTACGAGGGGCTGACCTCAAACTGTCATCTTCAATGCAGGTCTGGAGATGGGGCTGCTTGCATCTCTAATCAACAGACGTAGATAGGAGGAGAAAGTAGACAGACAGAGAGACAGAGAAAAAGAGAAGAGAGAGAGATACCAAGATACAGAGAGAAAGGGAAAGAGAGCTGAAAAAGAGAGAGCAGAGAAAGAGAGGGGGAGAGAGACCCTGGGAGCAGCAAGCAGCCTGCTGCATTAAGACACTGACTCTAATACTGCACTCAGCCAGCCACCTTGAACCACTGATCCTGACACATACCACAACACCTCCAAACACCACTAATTGGAACGAGGACTGACAACTGATTCGAGGAAGTAGCTGACCCTGATGTTGGAGGATGTTGTTGTCCCGCTCCGCACATGCGGTAAATCATGCTGGTAGTGTACAGTACATTCTAATGAGCCGTAAACGGCTAAACAGACAACACAAAGCCAAAACATAATGGGCAAAACACCAACCAAAGCTAGAGATGGACAGAGACTTTTGGGTCTCTGTCTCCATTAAGGCCTTGATTGGTTGAATCAGATGTTAGTGCTGGGCTGAAAGGTCATAAAAGACGTTGATTACAGACCCACGTCCCGGCCGGGGAGAGACAGAGGGTGACATAGGAGGGCCAGGGAGGGAGAGAGAAGGACAGAGAGAAGAGACACAGGAAACTGTCCTGAGACGGACTGAGAAGAGAGGCACACGCATCACAAACATGCACCCCCATGCATGTATGCATTCACACAGGCACACACACAGCACAATGTCTCAAGTCTCTCTTTCTCAGGAGATTACAATTGCCATAACATTTCACTACATTAAGTCAGAATGTTGTCACACTCATATACAATGTGTAATGTCCCCTGTAGTCCCCTGTAGCTCAGTTGGTAGAGCATGGCGCTTGCAACGCCAGGGTTGTGGGTTCGTTTCCCACGGGGGGCCAGTATGAAAAATGTATGCACTCACTAACTGTAAGTCGCTCTGGATAAGAGCGTCTGCTAAATGACTAAAGAAAAAAAAAAAAAGGAGCAAATGCATCTATTGGAATATCTTCCAACTGTGCATTACACATGTATCCCTCAAGACAACAATGAGGACCCAAACACATAAAGATGGTGAATCTCAAGGGAGAGTGAACTGCACGTGTTTCAGTTTCCTGGTCCCAGATCTGTTTATGCTGTCTTGCCAACCCCTACACTCATTGTCACCCCATTGCTAGGAGTTGGCAAGACAGTATAAACAGATCTGGGACCATGCAATTGTTTCACAGAACCAGGGCTGAAAGAACGTCCTCAATCTGCTTGCGTTATTAAACCTGACCCCAACCCTGCAGCCGATGAGGAGCGTGGAGGCTGAAGCATAAAATTGAATGTTTTTATGTATAAAAAATATAATAAAGAAACAGGGGCTTTTGGAAATTCAATATTAACAAAAGACTGTCTAGCACTTGTCTGTGATATTTTGGCTGCATCTCCACTTGAGTTGGATAAACTGATGTCTAGGGCTAAATGCATTAAAAAGATAGTCTACCTCTTACTGAGAGATGGACATGAGATGTTTAGCTGCTTGTTGCTGCCACGAAAGGGGCATTAATGAGAATATCATTTAGCTTCTCTCTGTGTAGCTAACTGCGCTTTTGGCAAGAGTGGCACAAATTGGATACATGCCACCCTTTGCAATAGACGAGTTAGCTGACAATGTCCTGAAAACTATGTGCACTCATCTATAGGGCAGAAGTACACTATCGGTCAAAAGTTTTAGAACAACTACTCATTCAAAATGTCTATATTTTTACTATTTTCTACATTGTAGAATAATAGTGAAGACATCAAAACTATGAAATAACACATATGGAGTCATTTAGTAACCAAAAAAGTGTTAAACGAATCAAAATATATTTTTTATTTGAGATTCTTCAAATAGCCACCCTTCGCCATGATGACAGCTTTGCACACTCTTGGCATTCTCTCGACCAGCTTCATGAGATAGTCACCTGGAATGCATTTCAATTAACAGGTGTGCATCCTTAAAAAGTTAATTTGTGGAATTTCTTTCCTTCTTAATATGTTTGAGCCAATCAGTTGTTTTGTGACAATATAGGGGTGGTATGCAGAAGACAGCCCTATTTGGTAATAGACCAAGTCCATATTATGGCAAGAACAGCTCAAATAAGCAAAGAGAAACGACAGTCCATCATTACTTTAAGACATGAAGGTCAGTCAATATGGAACATTTCAAGAACTTCAAAAGTTTCTTCAAGTGCAGTCGCGAAAACCATCAAGCGCTATGATGAAACTGGCTCTCATGAGAACCGCCACAGGAATGGAAGACCCAGAGTTACCTCTGCTGCAGAGGAAAAGTTCATCGGAGTTACGAGCTTCAGAAATTGCAGCCCAAATAAATGCTTCAGAGTTCAAGTAACACAAACATCTGAACATCAACTGCTCAGTTGAGACTGTGTGAATCAGCCCTTCATGGTCAAACTGCTGCAAAGAAACCACTACTAAAGGACACCAATAAGAAGAAAAGACTTGCTTGGGCCAAGAAACATGAGCAATGGACATGTCTTTGTGAGATGCGGTGTGGGTGAACGGATGATCTCCGCATATGTATTTCCCACCGTAAAGCATGGAGGAGTAGGTGTGATGTGTGGGGGTGCTTTGCTGGTGACACTGTCTGTGATTTATTTAGAATTCAAGGCACACTTAACCAGCATGGCAACCACAGCATTCTGCAGCGATACGCCATCCCATCTGGTTTGGGCTTTTGTTTTAGGGGGTAGATCAGCTTTAATATTGCTGATAGATTGTAACTTCCATCAATGTAATTGTATGCATCACTTCCAATCCCCCATACGTTTTCTGTCCTCGCAAATACATATACAGTATACAGTATTTTCCTGTAATTTTCATCATAGGTACACGTCAACTATGACAGACAAAATGAGAAAAAAATATCCAGAAAATCACATTGTAGGATTTTTAATGAATTTATTTGCAAATTATGGTGGAAAATAAGTATTTGGTCAATAACAAAAGTTTCTCAATACTTTGTTATATACCCTTTGTTGGCAATGACACAGGTCAAACGTTTTCTGTAAGTCTTCACAAGGTTTTCACACACTGTTGCTGGTATTTTGGCCCATTCCTCCATGCAGATCTCCTCTAGAGCAGTGATGTTTTGGGGCTGTCGCTGGGCAACACAGACTTTCAACTCTCCAAATACTTTCTATGGGGTTGGATCTGGAGACTGGCTAGGCCACTCCAGGACCTTGAAATGCTTCTTACGAAGCCACTCCTTCGTTGCCCGGGCGGTGTGTTTGGGATCATTGTCATGCTGAAAGACCCAGCCACGTTTCAACTTCAATGCCCTTGCTGATGGAAGGAGGTTTTCACTCAAAATCTCACGATACATGGCCCCATTCATTCTTTCCTTTACACGGATCAGTAGTCCTGGTCCCTTTGCAGAAAAACAGCCCCAAAGCATGATGTTTCCACCCCCATGCTTCACAGTAGGTATGGTGTTCTTTGGATGCAACTCAGCATTCTTTGTCCTCCAAACACGACGAGTTG